ACTTTGACATAAACAAAATTTACCAATCGATAAGAAGGAAATCTCACAAACAAAAGGTCAAAGTTCAAATCAGGGAAACAATCAGCTCCAATCCAAGTGGCCTATAGGGTGTGAAAACACACAAAAACAACCAATCACGTCCAAGGTCACCAACCAGGAGAGATGATTGGTAAACTCGTGGAGAAATTTCAAAGCTCACTTCAATTAAACTGAAGTATACGCTGAAGATGTCACCTAGTAAGGGGCGATGAAAGCTTCGCAAATAAACCATCCAGCTCAAAGAAGATAACTACACCAAAAGGGGAAAATTCGATGGAATATTGCAATTCATGCTGAAAACTCCATATTGTATCAAATGTGCTGTACTCTTTGGAATGAAGCCATTGTTATTATTATCATTATTGTTATTAGTAATCAATTTATTTCGAATCACGTATTGATTGGTAGGTATTTGATTGACTGGTTACAGGATTTCATCATGAGCTGATATCGGTTAGAGAACCATTGGAAAACCTACAGGTAGTACTGGATATCTGTTTCGTCCCAGTTTGTGACTCTTCACAGTGCGCACCCACTCCACTGCCAGGATTCGGACCCAGGAACTTCTGGTTACAAGGCTAGTGAGCTCATAGGCCATTAAGCCATTGGGACCCAATCGAATGGCCAGTCCATGAATTCTAACTTCCGCTAAGTGGTCACGCTATGTTATGAATTGGCAGAAGTTAGAATTCATGGAATGGTGATTGGAACGGGCCCCAGTGGCTTAATGGTCTAAGTGTTTGCTATCCTTATAACCAGAAGATCCTGGGTACGAACCCTGGCAATGGGGTGCGTGAGTACTGTTGGGGAGTTTTAAACTAGGCTGGTGAAACATTTGGCTGTCCAATACTCCCAGGTTATTCTGAATCACTTTGAATCACCAAATTTTATTAGTCTTACGTAACACAGTGACTACTAGTAATGACCATTTTGCATATTCCTGACGCTAGCTAGAATAGTCTTGTAACGTTTCTGTGTACGCCTACAAATAAGATTTTCTTTTCAAATTGCTGCCTATTAAATTATGTAATTATTATTAATGGTTGTTATCTCTTCTAGATAATTAATTGCAGTATATGAATTATTTTTTGTTATATGAACATGCGATAATTGTGATGTATGCATTTAGTTTACAACATGCAAAGATACCATATTACCGACCTACTAACTAATTTATTGTTCTCATTTCGTTTCAAGTTAAAAAGAAAAGAAAAATGTTTATTGTAATATCTATTAATCACATAATCAGTTGTTAAATTGCATATTAGATTTGCCATTTGGTAGTGTTCTCTGAACTGGTTGGTTTAGTTGCAGAACTTTCGTCATCCTTCTGGACAACATTCAATTTCAGCGCAAATTTTTAGCTTAGACTGAACTGATTTAAATTCTCTATGAATGATAGAATTGTGTCTCCTGGTAACCATCTTCATGACATTTGTATTGATCATTTTTAATTGACTTGGATTTTAAACTCTCTGGTCACACGATCTAATTTTTATTGGTTAGTATATTTGGTCTATATTAACATGTTTGTTAATCGCTGAATAATTAACTTGAGTATCAGGCCTCTAGGAATTCCCTGACTGCACTTTTGGACATCATCAAACTGATGTCCATAATTACCTATATGCATTGATATGAAACAGAAGTATATATCATATCTTTTCACAGCTAATTTGTGTTCTTGGATTCTAATTCGAACGGAACGCCCATTTCGACCACCGATGTAATTTGTCTATTACAGTTCATACAATTTATTTTGTTAATGGTATTGGATTATATTAGACGGGGTAATGATATTAGATTATTGTTTCTCCTTGGATTCCCAGTGGGAGATAGAACTTTAACAGAACATCCCCACTAACCACATATTCTCTGCTGGCCCATATCATCACACTTGTCGTTTCTTAATTCGGGTTACTTTCAAGTGATGGTCTAGCGCACACTATGCCATTCGACGGTCTCTACAGCATGTATCTGGTTCATCTCCACAATCATCGATTATTGGTTCACAGAGTTTCTTGTTGCTAATCCTTTCTGGCCCGCCACCAGCCATTTGATATTCAATAGGAAGCCAGATTGAAAAACACCTGTTGATGAAACTCCACAGTAGCCTATTGTAAATGCTTTTCGTAACGCAACGAGTCAAATTTCTGACCCATATATACATGTTTATACAGAAGAAGTGATTGACTTCATATTAGTATTTAAAATACCAATATTTTTTGTTCCTCTTATACTGCAGAGTGTGCAATAAATAGAATTCCAAACCGATTTCAGAGGGATTAAAGGGTCTGCCTCACCTTTCCGATTGTGGTTGTAAGACATCCTCTGCATTTGTGTTGTCGCCTACTATTGGAAAGATACTGCCTAGATAAGTGACCTCCTTCAAATATCCTCCGTTGATATATATATATATATATATATATATATATACATTCAATGATACTCTCATTTCCCTATATTGTTTTAATGATACTCAAGGACGTTGTCAGGGGAAACACAAACACACACACACACACGTAAATGTGTGATTTATTAGTTATGTGTGAGAAAGAGAAAAACATGAAGTGAATAATGAACAGTGAAGTGGAATTTATTGACTTTTTCTACCGGTAAAATATTTCCATGAGGTTCACTAAACATTTACTACTCTTAATTCAACCAGGGTAACTGATGACTGGTGTCATCAGCTTTAACAGTAACTACTGTGATTGATAATCACACCTTAGGGGTTTCCAAGTTTCATTTCATTTGACAGTTGTCGCTAAAGATATTTTCCAAAAAACAGGAAAAACTCTACTATTAAATCACCCAACTGCGTCGGTGGCACAGTGCTTAGGACGCCAGCCGACCATGCACATGGTCTAAGGTTCGATCCCCTGCCGACATAAACACCTGATATCTATGGTCGGCCTGCGGTGAAATTTGGCCTACCGATATCACATGCCGAAAATTTCATATTTGTAGCAAAATTTACGGTGTGGGATTAAGCGGTAATCAAAAATTTAAAAAAAATAAAGAAACAAGGAGGAGAGAGAAGGCGATAACGATGGTACATACTGCAGATGGATTTATATGTGAATAGTTAGGTCAACCAGTGGTAGGTAGTGTTTGCTAGCTAGGTAGCCACATAAAAGGGATTTCAACTCCCCACCAAAAAAATATTCCTTTCTGCTGATTTACGATGTTGGTGATCAATAGTTTTCCGATGGTTCTCCCTAAGTGATGTCAGTCAGCTCGTGATCAGACCAGTAACCAATCAAATCCCTACAAGCCGGTATTGACCTGATGCTTACTATAGCAACTGGCTCTGACTGTCTGCCTGGATTCAACATAGAACTTCTCACCGAAGTGCACTAGTTCGAGTTGCCACCTTCCAAATATCACACAAAACAAGACGAGACAAGAAGATGAGTGAAGAGAATCAATAGAGTTTGACAAGTATAACAGTGAAACACAATGGGTAATAATAGTAGAAAGAAATATGAAAGATTACAGAGACTGAATACATCTCCGCTGGCCAGTGACAACGATTTTGAGCCATGTCACCACCTATTGTCTCCAGCTATTGATTCTTAGAGTCAGTCCCGAGGGCCCCAACCCGGAAGTCTCCATCGCCCTACCTGACTCAGTTTAACTGTCAAGGATTTCATGGATTGATGAGGCCATGTTTTTGTTTGGCCACCCACCACTTACTCTTTTCCAACCTGCACCTATATCAGCTAGTAATGGCCGTCGGCGGGGGAGGCGATGGTTAGGCATGCGCAGAACGTCACCTAGCCATCTCACTCAATCTATGTAACTTTATAGCCTCGTCGATTGATTTTCCCTCTTTGTCTGCCCAACACTCTACGCCTAACGTCAACATTACTTACCTTATTATATACCACCTAACGTGAGAAAGAGATCGTAGACATCTATGATCAAAAACAGTCAACCTTTTCATGTCTTCAACAACTCGTATTGGCCATGTTTCAGAGCCATAGAGAAGGACGGAGCGAACTGACGAGTAGTACACACGTCCCTTGGTTGATAGCTGGATGTCACGCCTACGCCAGAGATGGTGTAAGTCAGCGAAAGCAGCTCGAGGTTTTTGGATTCGTGTTGAGATTTCGTCGCCAATCAGTCCATTGGTGCTGATACAACTTACCAAATAGGTGAAGTGATCAACATGTTCTATCACTTCACTCCCTATCACTGAGCTAGGAGTTGACGTAGTCAAATCTTGTAGCAGCATCTTACATTTTGCAGGGGCGAGTCGCAAGCCAAACATACGACTGGCTCTATATATACAGAGGGAATTTAACTGGAGATCTAGTGAGAAGTCGTGACTAGAAGGATTCAACAAGTCAGGTTAAAGAACAGTTACTATGACATTTTTTATTCATTTACGTTCCCAGTGGAACATAGGACACTTTTAAGCTAGAGTACGCTTGAAGTTTCTGTAGCAGTACTGATTACTTTTACAGGATGGGGTTGCTAGCCAGCCTCATGCCCAACCTTCCCTCTTTAACAGTCTTATTACTGGCTTCGGTGGCCGGGGATTGAACCTCGGACCACCTGCGTGGTCGGCGAGCGCCCTACACCTTGATATTCTGTTCAGATATTGATTTCCAGTGGGAAATCACAAATATGAAAAAAACATTCAAAAGTAATTGCGTCATAAAATGGGCCAAGTTAAACTTTAAGCACCACTAACTACTACCAATGGAGTGCGACCGTACTCGTGACCTTGAAACGCTTAGTAAGCAAGTTAGTGAGACCTGGCAAACAATGTTGTCATCATCAATGAAATATGCTCATCAAAAGTGTTATGCTATTTAAATGGGATATCTGGCAAGTTTTAGCTTAGGTTTGAGAACGATTAGGTTACGCTTTAAGCCATTATATCAGGAGACCTGATGATTCAATTCACAACAAAAACGAAAAACAAACAACCGATGAAGAAATTCACCTACCCGATCACGCATTTTCTCTCGAACAAATAATCGAAGTACATTGAATGGTGCACGAAACCAAAATGGTGGTTCAATAATAATCACTTTTCTCAAGCGTGCTGGATAAACACCCTAAACAGATTGGAAAGGAAGTAGCGAAGGGAGGAAATTAGACAAAAAAACAGATAAACAATGTGATAATAATAAATAATATCAATTCAACAAAATTATTTGATTGCATAATAAATGTACTAATAGAATTTTTTTATTCGTCTACGTTTCCAGTGGAATATAGGACACTTCTAAGCTAGAGGCCTGAAGTTTCTGTAGCAGGCTGTCTGTCTGTTTTCGACATAGAACTTTGCACATATGTGCACCAGTTCAAGTCGCCACCACACAAAGCAAGAGAAGAAAGTAGAAGAAATGCATAATACAGACAGTAAACAGAGATATGAGGCAAAAAGGGTAGTAATAACGAAGAACAATATAGTTTCATTGGAAATCATAAGTCACAAGGAGTGGATGCATTCTGCGCCTGCTATTGACAACGATTTTGAGCCATATCACCAATTGTTTCCAGCCACCATTGGTTTTTACCGTCCCGATGACCCCAACTGGCCAGTCAGGAAGTCTACACCTTCCTAGGTAACTGGCTGGCTTAAACTAACTGTTGTGGATTTCATTGACTGATGAAGCCATGTTTTGGTTTGATCGCCGCTGGCTAGCTCTTTTCCAGCCTGGCCCTATGTGAGCTAACATTTCCCGTCGGTCGAGGAAGGCGATGACTTGACATACATAACACATGTCCTAACCATCTCAGTCGATGTAATTTCAAAGCCCTTCCTTACCTACCACTCGACGCCTATCCTCAATATTGCTCGCCTTATTGTACCACTTCACAGGGGACATATAGCGCAGACACCTATGATCAAATACAGCTAATCTTTTCATGTCTTCCACTCCCAATGGCCAGGTCTCACAACCATAAAGGAGGACGCAGTGGACTGATGAGCAGTACACCCGCCCTTTGGTCGATAGCCAGCCGGATATCACGTCTACCATACCAGAGACGGCGTAAACTGGCATATGCGAAACTAGCCCTCTGTATCCGTGCTGAAGTGATTATTTTTACAGGATGGGGTTGCTAGCGAGTCTCATGCTCAACCTTTCCTCTTTACCAGTCTTATTCCTGGTACAGCAAGGTAAAGGAGTCCGGGGATCGAACCCCGGACCACCTTCGTGGTCGGCGAGCGCTTTACCGATGTGCCACTGACGCACAGAATATTAGAATAAATAATTGAATTCGAAGGAATATGTGCGACATAGGAAACAGCTGGCGGTAAAACCATCACGTCCCCAGCTCGATCGGGAAACTAAATCCGTATCTGAGGAAGAACTAGCTAAACACATATCTGTGTTCGACAGCTGTGCTCACTCTGAAGAAGCTTGGAAGAATATCCAGGCAGCCATAGATACAGCTGTAAAAGCTGTGAATAAGTTAAACCCAAAGGTGAGTAAAAACCACTGGATCTCCACCGCCTCATCCGAACTGATAGATGCTAGAAGACTTATTCCGGCGAGCTCCGAATTCAATGAGGAGCGAAAGCTGCACAAAAGGAAACTTACGAAAAGTCTCCGCAAGGACCGTGAACAGTGGTGAGTGACAAAAGCCAAAGAGATGGAGAAAGCTTCGAGGATAGGCAACACCAGGCAACTATTTGGACTCATCAGGGAAACGGGTGGGAGAAGACAAATCATTAGTGAAACAATCTCGGAAAAAAATGGCACTATATCTAGCTCCCAGGTTAGACGACTGGATCGCTGGAAAGAGCATTATGAGGAGCAGTTTAATTGGCCCACAGCCACGCTCAACCATACGAACACCCAACACCTCCCTGGATGGGATATAGACACAGGTCCTCCATCCCTAACTGAGTTTACTAAAGCTGTCACCAATCTGAAACTAGGCAAAGCAGCAGGACCTGATGGAATGACCCCAGAGGTATTTAAGTACTGTGGAGACAGCTTACTGCCTGCATTAACTGAGGTACTAGGCAGCGTCTGGGATTCAGAAGAAGTCCCATCGGGTTGGTGTAAGTCACTGATTATCCCCATATACAAGAATGGATACAAGTCTTCCTGTGATAATCACAGAGGGATTAGCTTGACTAATATAGTATCTAAAGTCTTAGGCTCAGTAATATTGCGTAGACTAAGTGGTGCTCGAGAGGAACAAACACAATAGAACCAGACAGGCTTTAGACAAGGAAGAGGGTGTATTGATCATATCTTCACCCTCCGACAGATTGTAGAACATAGGCATTCTTACCGGCGTCCAACAATCGTTATATTTCTTGACCTAAAAGCGGAATTCGATTCTGTCGACCGAGAGGTACTATGGCCTGGGGCCGGGGTTCGAGCCCACGCCGGCGCACACCTGATATCTGTGGTCGGCCTGCGAAATTCGGGCTACCGATATCCATGCTGAAAATTCCATACTTGTACCAAAAGTACAGTGTGGAATCAAGCTGTAAATCAAAAATAAAATAAAAATAAAAATGGCGATGCTTGGCTGTGAAGGGAAGGGAGGCCGAGAAAATATATTGCACTGATTAAGGGACTCTACTCGTACTCATACAGCCAGGTGAGGGGTTACGGCGAGCTGTCATCTGAACTGGTGATGACAGGTGGTGTCCGTCAGGGATGCTTATTATCCCCATTTTTATTCAATTTCATCATAGATGTACTTATAGACATAACCCTAAGTGACTTCAGTGACTCAGGGATTGACTTGTTACCAGGGAATAATCTCGTTGACTTGGAATATGCAGACGATATAGTCCTTCTAGGCGAAGGCGCTGACAAAATGCAGAGTCTTCTAAACACCTTGAGCAGAAATCTACGAATGTTTGGCATGCAATTCGCTCTCGCCAAATGCAAAATGATGTTACAGGACTGTACTACATCGACGCCTAGTTTAGAAATAGGAAGTGAAGTGGTAGAGCACGTTGACGGCTTCACTTGTCTGAGAAGTACCATCAGCCCCAACGGGTTGATCTCTGACGAAATCTCCGCACGGAAACAGAGGGCTAGCTTCGCATATGCCAGTTTACGCCGACTCTGGCGTAGACGAGATGTTCGACTATCGACCAAAGGGCGGGTGTACTGCTCATCAGTCCGCTCCGTCCTCCTTTATGGTTGTGAGACCTGGCCACTGAGAGTGGAAGACATGAAAAGACTAGCTGTCTTTGATCATAGGTGCCTGCGCTCTATTTCCCGTGTAAAGTGGCATAATAAGGTGAGCAACATTGAAGTTAGGCGTAGAGTTCTACGTAAACAGGGGAAATCAATCGACGAAGTAGTGAAGTTACAAAGACTGAGATGGTTAGGACATGTGTTACGTATGCCAAGTCATCGCCTCCCTTGACGAGCAATGTTAGCGGATATAGGGTCAGGCTGGAAAAAAGCTAGCGGTGGTCAAACAAAAACTTGGCCTCACCAGTCAATGAAATCCACAACACTTGGTCTAAGCCACGTAGGAAGGTGTAGACTTCCTGACTGGGGTCCTCGGGACGGTAAAAATCAATGGTTGGAAACAATTGGTGACATGGCTCAAAATCGTTCTCAATGGCTCAGATGCATCCACTCCTTGTGACTTATGATCTCCAATGAAACTGTTTTGTTCTTCGTTATTACTCCTTTGTCTCACACCTCTGCTCACTGTCTCTATTATGCTTTTCTTGTACTTTCTTCTCTGGCTTCGCGTGCTACACAGAGTGTGGCGACTTGAACTACCGCACATATGTGCAAAGTTCTATGTCGAAAACAGACAGGCAGACAGACCTGATAGATCGATTCAATTAAGAAGAAGGAGAATATAATTTACCAAAATACCATGTAATGACTGTAAGTGGAGTCAGTTACATAAGTCCAAATAGCAGATCAAAGTCAACTAGATTATTGGAAGATAAAAGTTTAGCTGAACCTAGAATAATTGACCCTGCTAAGTTAAATAACGTAAGAAAAGACAAGCATAGCTTAGCCATTGTACTGCATTCACTTGCATGTAATCACATACATTAGGGTGAGCGCGACAGGGTGGAAGTATTAAAAGGTGATATAGTTAGATGGAGACAGAGACAGGTTAATCACTGAAGCTTTGTTTAACCATTCAACACCACACAACACACGCAATCGAAACGACTCAACGCCTATACAGGAGGTGTGAAAAGTGGCAACAAACAACAAAGAAAAGTTGAAGAGACAGAGAAAATGAAAATAGATATTAAAACAAATTGTGAAATTGTGTGACTAAGCTGATACGATTATGAGCAGCAATATAATTTATGCTCGACACCACCTTGTCATTCAGTTGTTAATAATGCATCATCTATGTGTAATACTTAAAATAAACTTATCTAAATGCATTCTACAAGTGCCCAACTTCAACACCTACATTAACGAAATAGGAAGTTATCAGCCGAGTGAAGTTTAAAACTTTTAGCTAATTGATACTTGATGGTTGGAGGCAATAGACAGTTATCAACGAACCTGAGGTTTGTGCTTGCTGGCAACGCAACAGTCAGCAAAGCATATCTACAATCTTGAAGGAACTCATGTTCGCTCTTGGATTCGGAACCATGTCAAATATTGTCACATTCAGAAATGTTACTGATATGTATCCATATATATATATAGTGGTCTCTCTTTCTGTTGCTCGCTTAGTCTGTGACCATTTCACTTTTATGAACCTGTCTCCTTTAACAATGTATATTCCCCTTATATTATATATAATATGTGTGTTTGTTGACATGTCTGCCATATTTTGCTATGTATATATGGATCGATAATCCATTATAATTAGCCAATCATGTTAAGACTGTCTATTGATTGTTCACACACTTGTTCGGACATTCATATATATTTTTGCTCTCACACTCTTGTGTGACAGATTGATTCTCCTTGTGTTTGGAAAATAGAAGTATCATCGCAAACCTAGTGGTCTTCTGATTTCCGTCTTTCTTGCGTCAGGACTATTAAATTCTCGACCAGTACATAATAATAATTTGGCGACGAGTACATAACAGTTACCACTAACTTATTCAGGCTCACCACTGACCGCGTGTGGGACT